GGTATCGGACTATTCTACATGGCATGAGAATTTTTTCTACTAGTTGAATTTTTCACAAAAATGAATCTTGAAGTTTGCATTTTCTATAGGTACACAATGTGAACAATTTTAAAAATATTTTTACTCTTTTTGAGCTGCTTGTAGGAATTTTAAATTTAAATTTTTAGTTTATTCCCATAAAATTCACATTTGATACATTTTTTGCTAGATCAAAACTCAAAAGCTTAAGAATTTAAAACAAGGTTTTTCATATGCATTGCATACTGTAGCAAAAAGGTCTAAGATATATACTTACGACTAATAATGTATTAACATAGTTTTTTTAAAAGCAATTTTAATATCATATTTTGACGATATTAGATATTTAATTAAAAAATAACGACTTAAGTTATTTTATTATAATTTAAAAAAATTATATTCGAGGTTACTTGAAACTTTTAGCGTAGGTTTATTATTATATTATTACCTAAAATATTTAACACACAATGTCTTTTTTAAATACAATGATTTCGGCAAAAATTAATTCAATCTATACCGTATTTACTAATATTAAAATACATTATTTTAGTATCAATATAATAATATATCATAAAATATACTTATTAGTTATATATTATACCTATGCTAACAGACCGCTTCACTCAGAATTGTTTTTCGTACCTATGCAATGAATTATTTTTTAATTCAAATTGAAAACATATACATTACAGTAACTTACTCATCAGTCCTCAATGACGAGGTACAGTCGAGAGTGAGTAAAAAAACATAAGAATTGATACAAATCAATTCAGGGCTTGAAACCGATAATGGAAACCTATTTTGAATACCTGTTAAAACCGTTAAAAGCCAAAATCGATATCAAAAAAACTCAAGACCAGTAATCAAAACCAAAATTGATATTGGAAAAAATAAATACCCATAGGTATTCAAAACTAAAAACTAAATACAAAAAAAAACAATACCAGTAATCAAACCCGAAATCAAAATCGGAAAAAATAAATATCAATATCCAAAACAAAATCAAAATTGAAAAAAAATACCTAGTTTGAATATAGGAATAAATAAAGTTAATATCCGGCTGAAATATTTTGTATTACATCATTAAATCGTGAACACACTGAATTTATTTACTGATTGGTAAATATTGGTAAAAATATAAGTATAAAAATATTTCGAAAAATGAATAATTATCCTTAAATCAAATAACACTAAGCATTTAGAATGATCCTTTCGTATTGTTTATTATTTAATATACAGTAATCCACCAAGTACCAAGTTGTTCACTCCCTGGCCACTTTTGTCCTTTGAATTTTAATACCTATAATGTTTTACTGCAGTATAATTTTACAATTAATATTTAACATTTTAACACTTTCCAGTTTCCACGTAGGTATAAGTTTACCGAAACTAAATGTTCACAACCATTATAAAATTAGTCATATTTAATACGTATTTGTGCAAGAATGAAGCAATATCCAAACGTTAAACAATGTATCCGTGCGTCACATCCTATCGCCCTTTATTACTTTAATAATTGATTTATTGATTTATAATATTATTGTTATTATATTATTGCATCCCTGTATAGCTACAAACAACGTTGCTGCTGTATTATAACTGAATATAATATATTATATCTATTTGACTATTTAGCTGTATCCATAATACCCTCCTATTATACACAATCTGATAATATAAACTTTGTTTCCTACTCCGTCGACTCCCATTAATGTAAGTATACAGCATAGGCGGTACTAGACCCTCTTGGCAGGGGGGGCCAGAAAATATTTAAACTATCTAACTATATGTTGGGAAGGGGGGGGTCGTTAATGGGTGACTTCCCCCTCACCCCAATAAAACCCCTTCCAATTTACTCATTGAATAATTTTGTAAATATAAAGGTAGGTAAGTGGATGTCGCTCTGCTGTACTGTAGGTTACAAGTGGGTCACTGTATAATGGATGGTATTAAATTTGAATGCAATGATATAATATCATTGTATTAGAAAAACGATTCTGAGCGGAGACGGTATGTCAGTCTAGGTATAAGACATATTATATACTTTTCTATGGTATTAAAATATTAAATTATATGGAATTTATGAATAAATTCCTTAAAATATGCACAGTCTTATCATGAGCATAATTGTTATTCCTTATACTATGGTAGATTGTATGGATAGGCCATAATATTTTGATTTTTCAGTTTCATATATCCCTGAATAATATTTTTAAGTTACAACAAAAACAAAGATCGTTAATATTGATTTTAATATGTAATTTCGTCCAAATTTGAATTTAAAATGTCTGTAAAAAATAACTGTGTTCATATATTTTTTAGATTTTTTGGTTACAGTATGAACTATTTATGAGAACCTTTGTTTTAAATTTGCAATCTTTAGCTATAAAAACTGAACATTTTATAATTTATTAATTACAATAATTGATAATTTCCGAGATTTTGTCAAAATTCGATGTTTAAATGCTTATAAAAAAAAATTGTGCCTATGTATTTTTAATATTTTTCAATTGCTACTGTAACAATATATCAGGAACCTTGTATTAAATTTTTACAGTTTTTGGCGCAACAGATAAAACTTTATTGATATTTATAGAAAAAAAAAACTAAAAAAATTTAACAAATTTAACAATTCGAATCTTTTCTTATCTATCGCAATGTTGTAACGTTTTGACGCACATCACCTTATCAGGATTCGTTGATAATAAAATCACAGAATAGATTAAATAATAGAATATTTTTTAAGTGTGTGTTATCATTCACAGATATTTTGGAACAAATTTCGTATTGAAAAAAAAAATTTATATATTTTTAGAGTTAGGAAACCGAGATTTAAGGAATTATGTATTAATACAGGTACGGTTCGCAGGAGGGGCAGTTGCCTACTCTGCCACCCCCGTAGTACCGCCTATGGTATACAGTGGAGCGCACTTTATGATAACTAATCAATTAATCGGTGAGTAAACCTAAAGGGCGCGGTGGGTATCGGAGATATTCAGGTATTTGATCACAAGATATACCATATACCTACTTATATTTTATACAATCATATATATACATACCAAATGCATATTTAAGTTATGCAAAATAATATAATTTATTATATAGGTACGACATGAATTTCCGACCGAAAAGTCAAGTGAAACTCGGCATTTGCGAGAATGCCTCAAGTGCCGCCTGAATGGTGAGTATAATATATAAGTGCCTATTATAAACGATGTGTAATGCAAACAAGTAATAGTACCTTCTAGGTATCTATGTATAATATTTTAATTACTCATTCATAATATTTATAAATCGTTGATATATAATATATTGTTATTAAATTTATATTATACCTACATAATATAGCTTTCCACGGGCGCGACGACCACGCCACAATATAATGGCAACACCTCTACCGTGGCAAGCCTAATATTTTAAGCTATGCCGAAAAAGGTGTGGTCCCGTTTGGCGAAAAATAAGAGAGAAAAAGTAAAATAAAAACCTATTGAAAAATATTGATTCCGGCGCCCGCGAGAAAGAGATACTGCGGCCTTGGCCGGCGTGTTTCTTTGGCGCGCGCACGCGAGACCTCACGCCGGCCGATATATAATAATGTATAATATATAGTCTATATAGATATACAATTTTCGCACCAAGCACAGCTATCTGCTGGTCGACAAAACCAATACCCAAAGTTCATCTCTCCGGAAATCGGCCAAGTTCATTACAGAAGTAATATGAAAATACATACAGCGTGTAACACACTATAATATTATATAATACAAAATTATTATGTGTGGGTTATTAATATTATAATACAACATTGTAGGTAGAGCAGGGGCGTTGATCTAGTAATTTTTTCGAGGAGTGGCCTGATCATTTCGAATATCACGATAAAGGTATATTTTTTGGGAGGCCTTTGGAAATATTTGAGAGGCCAAGCCCGAGTATACGATTTCCGCCCTCCGGTCACCATATTCAAGTAATATTATTATATAGGTAGGTCGACATGACATGCGTACACACCATCAAATTATATATTATGTATATAAGTACAGTGTTGTGTCATCGGTTAGGCGCGGGCGAAGGATAAAAATTAAATACATTTCGAGCAAACCGTATTATAGTCGCACATGATGCGTCCATTGTAAAACCCTGTCAAGGCTACACCGACTGTTGTGGGTGTGTGTAGTACCTATATACGTATAATGTATAATATATGTATACATATAGCCTCACATATAGGTATATACAGCGTATAATAATATGTTATGGCATTGACGATAACCGTCACGCACGCACACGGTGTATATCATACAATATGTATATATGCGTTATAATACACGTACGTAATAATAATATATATATATAAACGCTAAAATAAAACCGAGACGAACTAGGTTAATCAATAGGCGCGCGCGCGCCGTGCGGTGACATCGGGACGACGGTGGCCATCGATGGTCGCATGGCTCGGTCCATCGATGGTTGCGCGGCCGTTACATCGATAGTGGCGCTTGACGCCGTGTTTGCGGGGTCGAACGCGCTCACGGCGGCAACGCCAGCGCGCGTGACGCCGCCGCCGCCGCGCTAAAAATATACAATCGCGCCTTGGACGAGGCGTTTCGGTACCGCGCACGCACATCGATCATTTGCCGCCGCCGCGCTACCGTTTTCGCCGTCGACGGCGCGGCCGCCGTTTGTAGTGCGACGACGAGTTGTGTGCATAATAATAATAATAATAATAATAATAATATCTATAGCCGGCGAAAGAGAATCTCTCTATCAGACACGGCTCGAATAAACGAGCCGAATTCGAGAAGACCTGCCTCGACTGGTGGACACATACGCTGACAAACGAAAATCAGCACGCCAGACGGGCGATTGGCGGCGGTGCAACAGGAGACGACGGCGGCGGGACACGGACATGTTATGCGGCCCGGTAGTCGGGTCGGCGGTGCTGCAGGCGAGTGTTCGTCTTCTTCGTCGTTAATAACGTCATGTACGCGTCATCGTCTGCCGACAAGTACGGCACCGGCAGGACCGCGACCGCCAAGACGTACCATCACCATCACCTCCATCACCTGCACCACCACCACGTCGGCACGTCGTCGTCGTATGCGTTGTCGTCCGAGCTGAGCGCCGACCGGCGGTCCAGGGCATACAGTAGCGCGCCCAGACAGGTGACGCCGGTCCGGTCAACCGCGGCCGCGTCGTCCCGGTTGACGGACATCAACGGCAACATCCGGTCACTGAGCCTGAGCAAGAGCCTGTCGCCGGCGTCGTCGTACTCTGCGGCCAACGGAGGTGGATCGGCGACACTAGGTTCTGGTCGTGGAGAATTCGGTGGGAAGACCGCTGGTTCAGCCACACTGCTGCAGCTAGGCAACGACAATAAACGGTATGATGCAACGAAAAAACGTTTGGACGCGTTCTACAACAGCAGATCGCCGTCGTCGTTGCTAAACAAATCATACAATTACAAAGCTGGCAACTTGTCCTACTTCGAAAAGTACAACAAACAGCAGCAGCAAGACTCTCCTCCACCCAACGAACCATTACAGCAATCCAGATATGTCAACATGAACAGAACAAATTACGGCGCCATCACGGACAACGGAGCGCTGCACCCGGAATCGTCTTCGTCGGCGTACAGGTCGGTGTCCGATTCGAAAAAGGGGGTGGTCGGCATCCGAAACATAGGAAACACGTGCTATATGAACTCTGTGCTGCAGTGCCTGAGCAACACCAAGAGCCTGACGGACAGCGTACTGGACGACGTGGACGGGGCCGACGGCAAGTTGATCCGGGTGTACCGAGACCTCTTGTCCCGAATCTGGACCTCCGCTGACAGCCATCCGGTGGACACCACCGCTTTTAAGTCGGCATTCCAGCGGCTGTCCCCCCGGTTTGCCGGCTACGAGCAGCAAGATGCCCAGGAGTTCCTGCGACTGTTGCTGGACCGACTGCATATGGACGTTAACAGGGTGAAGGTCAAGCCCCGGGCCATGCCGGACGTGGACGAAACGCTCAAGGACAACGCGCTGGCTGCTGAGTTCTGGCAGAGGTACCTGGTCACGGACAACAGTACCGTGGTCGACCTGTTCGCCGGACAGCTCAAGTCCACGCTTGAGTGTTCTTCGTGTGGCCACAAGAGTATCACGTTTGAGGTATATGAGTTATATGTATATTGTATATGGGTATTAGGTATACCAAGGTTGTTGGCTGATGCGCTCTATAATATTATTAAAATATATTATATTAAGACTATAGTGCGGCTACGATGTAATTAAATTGTAAATTTAAAAAAAATTGACCCCAATCCGAGCGCGCGAGATTAAAAATACGCTATACGCTCGTACATTCCTCTGGCAACCGGCCCGGGCCGCCGGCGCCAAGTTACGTAACGCAATGACCGTATAATATAGCATTTTTTTTTTTAAAATATTTTTTCTTTCCCGAAACCAGCTTTGCTGGTTTAACTGAGAACTGAGACGCCTTAACCTCCTCCACCCACACTCGTGAAAGGTATTTCTGGTCCACCCTGCCGCAAAGGAATGTCTTATACAAAAATCTGGACTCCGGAGAATTTTTACTAATAATCGTTGTTCTACGTTTACCGTATAGGTGTTTTGGGATGTGTCACTGCCACTGCCGTCCAGCGGCTCGACTAACATAGTGTCCATCAACGACCTGCTGCACAATTTCACGCAGGAAGAGGTGTTGGACTTCCGCGAACGGCCTCGGTGCAGCGTTTGCAAGGTGGACAGGAAGATGTTCAAATCGTACCGGTTTCAACGATTGCCCAGGTACCTAGTGCTGCACCTGAAGCGTTTCCAGGGAACGCAGTCATACAAGAAGATCACGTCGCTGGTGGCGTTTCCGTCCGTGTCTCTGGACATGAGCCCATACGTGTCCGGCACAGCCCGGAGCATACAGCCGCACGCCTGCAAGTACAACCTATATGCGGTGTCCAACCACACGGGCACGCCGATCGCCGGACACTATACCGCCATGTGCAAGCACCCAGTCACCGGCGACTGGAACTTCTTTAACGACAGCTCCGTTTCACGGATAACGTCGTCCGCGAAACTCATAAGCAACGAGGCGTATATACTGTTTTACGAGGCCGCGAATTATTAATTAGCCGATGAAATCAGGTTTATGAATTGTTATTTTTATTTAATTTTTTTTTTGATATCCGTCCATAGATCGAGGGTTGACATGAAACTATACATAATACATGTTATATTATGTATACCAATAAGTACCTATATCATATTATTATAACTGCTGTCGCGTATGACGTTTCAACTTTGTACGACACTTTTTAATACCTCTACCGTCTACACTATACTTGCATATTATGTATAAATGTATAATACCTATATATAATATATATATAGGTACATGATATTGAGTAGGTATAATAATATAAAATTATTATTTACCTATGTGTAATTAGTGGCAGCAGTACTTAAGTGCACGACTAGTCAAATACCTATATCGGGGAATGTGGAGGGAGGGGGAAACGAGAGGGGAAAGGTTTACCAAGGTTTTATTATAATAGGTAACTATGTATATATAGATATAGCTAATAACCATATAGGTAACATAGGTGTACCGTGTACCTACAACACACGTTTTATTATCACGTTAGACTATAAATTAAAATCTAACGTGATACATTATAATGTATTATATTACATTAATACTATACATAGTAGTATAGTACATAAGTATTTAGTACATTGTAATGTAAATGCATAAAAATGCAAGAGTACATACCTACTACATAAGTAATGTAGGTATTGTATAATCAGGGTACGGCCAAGATAAAATATGTAACGTTCATGTTTTGCGAACCACTAATTTCGGTCGAGTATAGTGTTTATTGTTGCAACTATATGATTGAATTTCTGGGGAGGATAAGGGGGGCTATAGACTATAGTCCCAAAAAACACTAATCCAAGCAATGGAATAATAAAATATACACAAAAAACTTCTCATAAATTCTTTGAAATTATAAATTTTTTGTAATGGGGGAAGGGGGAGGGCAGCTCCATTAATTGCGCTAACAATATTGTTACGGTATTGTATGGGAATCGTAATAGTCCTCGTATGATTCATGACCTCAGTTAGTTATGTACCTACTAATTAAAATGAATCATATATATTAATAAACATTGGTAAAACGATGGTTTAAAAAACAATAATTGTAGATCAGTGGTTGATTGATAGGTTTGATAGGTACTATATGATATAGTGTATCACATTATCAATAATCAAAATTGAATTTCCAATTGGCAAATTGTAATAAAATAAAATTGTGAACCTAAAATGTTTGCATCTTTACGAATTGATCATTATACAATTGTTTATTTTTGGTCTTAAAATTTATTTTCTAGGGACATTTGACTATAATATAGTTTATATTCTGCTGATGTTTTTTTAATAGCTTAAAGTCATATAGGCATGTCTTTTACCTAAAATTCATTATTTAGAAATCTTTTACTGTACATTCTACCTAGCATGACATTTGATACTATTTTATAATATGTTATTAAAATGTTCAACAAATATTTTTTTTCTTCACTTATACCTACAGTTTCAAAACATTAAGGTACAATTAATAAAGCCTATAAAATGGTAAATGCTAAATAGTGATAGGTATGTAACTATTTTTAAAAACAGTTTTTTTTTTATTTTTACCCATAACTTACAATTTGTTTAATTTTTTCCTGTAACTTATTTTTAAATTAACAACAAATTTAATTTTGTTCTGCTTTGATAAAATGATTAATATTATTGGCAATTATATGATATAATGAGATATCTGTTAAACTTTACATAGGGTTACCTTAGTTTATACGAATATAATATGTAATAAGTATAATGTATATAATATATAATATTATATTGACAGTTTTATTTATACAGTTTTATCAAAAGTTAACTTTGTTTTGCACTAATTAAAAGTTTTTCCTACAATTTATGTAAAAAGTTAAAATTATTAATGGAGACTTACTACTTTTATCATATTAGTGTCTATAATTATGTACATATGATTTATAAACATTTGTTATTTTTCTTGTTCCTTAGTAACTTATTAAAACAGTTTATTTATTGTTGATTGTTGATTATTATATTATTTATGGAACAAATAAATTATATTTTTAATCAATTGTGGCTGAAATATGAATTATAAATGAGTATGTAAATTATTAAGTGTAAACAAATTATATAATTAACAATAATAATTAAACATTATAGAAGTACAAGTACAATTTAATACAATAACATCAATACCACGTATCTGTAAATTTATCAAGAATCATATATTTTGGTATCAAATTATTGTTAATTTCCTTGGGGTTATTAAGTATTAGATTATATTAATAGGTTATAAATTGAAATTTGTTTCTAATTGTATTAAACATATCTCTTTTTTGAATAGTTTTAAATAAGGTCCGTGAAAAACACTAAAAATTTCATAACATGGTACTGTCATTAGTGTATGGTAAATACATTTTTTTCTATGAAAATCATCAAGTTATTATAATATTAATTTTTACTTTGATAAATATAAACCAAAATAGTTTTAGATTAAAAAAAAATATAATATTTGACATTTTGCTATAGTCTGTTCATTTTAAGAAGCGATTCAGGCGGCCACTAGTAAAACCGGTTTTCAAGCGTAAATCAGGTCGCTTCTTATTTTGAACAGGGTATACATATATAAAATACAAAACTTTATAAACCAATTAGATGTAATAAGCCAATAAAAATATATTCATGTATTAATCATTATTCATTAAGTTATAACTTATAATTTAAAATATTGTGTTATTTAATGAATTTCACATAAGGTCGTGCTGAGCATATTTTGTTGTCATAGGAACGATTGTGAGTTTGGGATCCATAGCAAGAGGTTTTCGCAATTCTATAGCAGCATGGGTTAATTGTAGTGCACAATCTGGATGAGTACCACCGGGTAAATTGCTGCATTCTAGTTCCAATAAGTCAGCAATACTGGTTAATAAGTCATTGAAGCTGTAGGCGATTGCAGCTTTTCGAATTCGATTTAATTCCTAAACAAAAATTTTTTGAAAACAAATAAATGTATTTTAACTGTAACTTTTGAATTACCTTATAAAAGCTTGGAATTTTATCTGGCATTTTTCTTGCTTGTCTTAAAATTTTTTGAATATCTGCTTGAAGACCAGCTTCTTTGATCCACACCAATTGTGACTGGTTATAACTACGTTTATCAGGAGTTTTACTTGGTTGTGTTTCATCTACATCTGTAATGTTAAGTAAAATATGAATTATAATAGTAAGTAATGATTACATAAGATATTTACCTGATTTGTTTAATTCGGTTGGTGATAATGTAAGATTTCGAATATCGCCTAACCAAGGAATAGCATTTGTACCAGGTTCAAGAATAATTAACATTAAATTTGATTTTTTTTTATTGTCTGCCCAACTAACCAATAAACCATACCAATTAGAGCTTAACTGACAAACAGCTGTCATGTTTTCAACCTATAAATATTTGCATTCATAATTTTAAACTATTTAAGGCATAATAATTTATATATTAACAAAAAGTTTTTTACTTTTAAAGCTCCGTGTAATAACACACAAAAAGATGGAGTTTTTGCAAATGCTTCATTAGTCTCTGAGCATTCATCTAAAATGCGTTGAGGTAAAACAAGATGACGTGATAAAGTTGCTGGGCATTCTACTTTTGAAGACTCCAGAAATCCAATTATATTTAGTTCACTTGAAATGCAACAAGTCATTATTTCGAAATCTGCAGCTTTTGTATAAGACTAAAATATTCAAATAAATTAAAAAATGAAATGGTAAAAAAAAATTTGTTATATTACCATAGGAGGGGGAATCAATTGAATATCTGACTTTAAATTACCACACCGTAACACTGCACTATAAGGTACATATGTTTCTTTAGCAATTTTTTCAAACACTTTTGCAACAGATGATGGAGTTAAAGGCAATTCAGGTGAAGTTATATATCCAAGACCATTTGGAAGTTTATTTGAGTCATAATTATTTTTGTAAAGCGATGACACTTGTTCCAGGGGAACAACTATTAATTTTCCAGGAAACAGAAATGGAGTCATGTCTGGTTTCCGAAGACCTTCATAACAGTTACCATCAGTAATCATAATAACCTAAAAACATATTATTTTAAATATTCAAATTATTGAAATATTACACACAGTGGAACCTTATTGATCTGGGACTAATTGGAGTGCTTTAGGTTGTCTGAATTAATAAAAGTTCAGACCAAACAAAATAACCTATGAAATAAGCCGAGATAAATATTTAAACACTGTTCAATAAAAAAAACATGTAGTATTATTGATAGTCAAACTAGATAATATAATGCAACATGTATTGAGACATACATCATACAAAATAACTAGTTATTAAGATTATTTTGATATTACTAATAATATGTATTATTAAACGGTTGTCTGGATTAAACAAAGTCTAGACTTATGAGGTTCTACTGTAGTTTCAACTATAACTTATGTCTTACTTGACAGGTTACCGAGTTAGACCACTCACTATGGACTAAATAATTAATAGTCTGTATTACAGGTGGATAACATGTGTTAGTTCTGAACTCCAACTGTGTTATTTTTGCTTTAATTAAGTCATAATCACGGGTAAATGAACACAGTACATCACAAGTGGATGAAAATGTAACCTGTAACACAAAATATTAGGCAATAAGTAATATAATAGTATTAACTAATAGGTATTAGTATCTGTAAGATATAATTAAGAAAATAGTTTTACTATGTAAAATTAAATAAAAAGCCAATTAAATGTATCCAATTCAAGTTTGTATTGTTTAGGTATAGGTACTGACTAATAAAACAACCCTACAGTGACGGTATAATATATTTAACAAGTATAATATGTTTATAGTATTTAATAAAGTAATGAAGTAGTAAAGTAATAAAGTATGAAAAATATATTGGTACCTATAGTAAATATTTATTTTAATAATGTCGGTCTATAATTTAAATATTTAATCACACTACTTATTAGCAAGACAATTACTAATGACATAATGTTAATAATAAAGTAATTTAAACAGCCTTTGGTAATATTTCAAATGAACATTTTTGGTACATTTCACTATCCCAAATAAATACTCACAACAGCCACAAACTCTAGTTTGGAGTGTACAGCTAAATAGTCCAAAAGAACATTGACACCGTGTGTGGCCAACTGTAGCAGCGTAAATGACTCTTTGGTATCTTTGATTTTAATGTCTCTGAGCATGGAAACAGACAGATCAATGGCTATAACGGTAGCCATCTTCTAGGTCGATCGCAGTTTCTATAAAAGCATATCTAGCCTAATCATTATTTCAAGGGTTGCATTAAACACAAAATTTCGTTTGACAGCAACAATAGAAAACGAATATTTTTTTAACAATTAACGTTTTACTACCTTACTTACAAAACGGCTATTACAAATTACAATATCTTATAGTAACAAAACCAAAGTGCATAGACTACCAAGTTACATACATAATATTATTTAATGTTTATTTATTTTATAGAATTAATTTCTTATCACATGCACACACTCGAAATGTTATCGCGTTATTTGTCATCACCTTATCATTGGCCGTTTAGTTCATTCAGTTTGTCTATCTGTTCTTTTACAGATTCCTCGGCTTGTGTTTGCGTTGGTCACACTGCTCGCTTTTGAAAAGGACTCCACCGCGCGCACACCGCACAAACAACACTACACCGCCGCCGCACCGGTCAACGCCACCGGGTATAGCAACGCTCCCATGTCATTACCGTTACTACTTTTTTTTTACCATGGTCCCTCACACCGACACGTTCTTTGGAACGTAAACAAAATTCAAACCAGTCCGAGACACAACTCGTTGTGCGGCTGTTGTGGTTTGCTCTTGTGCGTATCTCACGTGTGTGCTGCTCGAATTTTCTCTTTTGGTCGGTAGTTTTGTTTAGCTTGTGTCGTCGGTTTTATTTTTAAAAAACGAATATGATTTTTGTAACAATCGTGGTTGATCCGTTGAGTTTTTCCGTTTTCAAATGTTTAACCGCGCGTTTTTAAATTATATACAGTTATCGTTTAATTGTCCACCTGCTCGTCGATCGGTGGATATAATATAATAATATTCGTTTGTTCTTGTTTTTTTTTTGTTTGTGTTTTCGACGGTTCTAAAATAATAAGAATCGGAGCGACGCCCGAAGACAATTTTGAGACGGTGAGTTTCCAGTGTTTGCTTTTTGCATCGTTAGCTGATATTTAGATCAATACGATTTAATGAATGTCTATTATAAAAGTATTATAGGTATATAAGGTATATTTATTTTTGATTTTGATGTGAACAGCGTTTGTACCTTACATCGGTTGACTAGAGTCTAGAAGTTAATCGCAATAATGAGAATTAGAGACTCATAATTAGTCATTACTTATTGGAGAGTATGTATGTAGTTGGAATATAACTTTTATAGTTTTATAATAATTACTTTCCAGCACGTAGTTATTTCTATTTCATAGTAGTAATATTTTGATATTTGTTTTTAACCGTAATTTTTGGAAAAGTATAAAATCAAAATGTATTTGTGTAAATCCAGAGAAGATTAGAAAGCATACTTACCTAGATGCTTATAATTAAAAAAAAAAAGGTTTTTTTAATATCAAATTAACTATTTCAATATATGTATAATATGACACAATGTATATAATAACTGCATAGTACACATAATATACATAATATAAAAAAAGAAATTGAAATTCGATATTTGAATGTAGTTTGAAAGTCAAATTAAACTCCTGATTCGGATAAAATGTTTTGTACGATGATTTATCAATATCCGTTTCCGATTGAAATATTTACGCTTTAATCAATATTTAGTGTTGTTCAAAACTATTAAACCGGAAATAGCCGTGTCTTATTGGTGATTAGAGTCGCTCTAATATATTTTGTTGAAACCTAGGCATTGACGCCTAGGTTTTACAATATTTATGCTTAGGTATTATTTTGTAGGTATATACATAAATAATTGTTTGTTTCTAACAACATTTTAATGGATTTATTGTAATTATCGTATTATATTTCATCAAAAATGTTGATAAGCTTAGTGTTAAAATATTTTTTTAGTTACTAATTACTATAATATGTAGGTACCTGTTTATTTATTTATCGAGTTACACAAATATTAATTGTATAATTGACTATTGTGAAGTTTGCAGTTTTTTCATTAAACATTAGTACCTACATTACGTATTCAAATCAAAATAAATTAACAATATTCGTTAATTTAGGTACCAAATGTAACCTATACAGGTTAAAGTTTCGGTTAAGAAAACGCTACATCCGCATGTGTTGTCTCTTATCTCCATTATATTATATATCTGATTATATACGCTGACCATGGTAAATCTATGTACCGGATACTTACTTCAGTTTATGTATAGTTAATATTATTATAGCCAATTTACATATCATTGAATTTGAAGAGGAGAATTTAAACTGAACCAATGCAGTTTTTTTTCAAATATTTATTTTAAAATGAGTTCTATAAATATGAAAAAATGAATTAGTTAAGCTGGTACATTTAAGAATATGGCAGCTCACTGTTTGTTTTCTCTCTCTGGTCAAGACAGATAGACAAAACGCATTTATGCTGCAAAATCATTTTTTTTTTTTTTTTGAGTACCTAATCTTAGAGTAAAATAACCCATTACAATAACGATAGGTAGACAATAATATTTTTGAGGGTATTCCATCGATTTGTCTAAATATTGTCTCACAACAATCATTTAAATGTTCAAACATTGTTTTTTATTTTGAAAGTCTTATACAAAGTCAAATAATAATAAAATATAAAACCTATACAGCCTCAAAAATATAATTTTTTTTAATTTTTGTGATAAGCGATTTTACTGTAAGATTATTCAAAAATCATTAAAAATGATTAGGTATAGGTAAAAGTGTTTTATCTACATATGTTTCGTGTGGATCTGAGAGGGAAAACAAATATTGCGCTGACATCCTCTTAAGTAATTTTAAAATATAAATATGAAAAAAAACTCTGCTCCTGTTTATTTTACGTGTGAAGTAGGATTCTCATATTGCGTATCTCGGCTCACTGTGGATCGCATCGAAGGAGATCTTTTGGACACGAGTCAAAGGATACCACGCGGCTCGTCAAATGCGTTTCTGCAGTGAGCTGTGGCCTGCGAGTCTAGTCGAGCAATCCCGACTTTCTTAAGTAAGAATAAGGATACGTGTCGTGGTAACGGCAAGGCTCAGCTCATCCAATTGTCCGGTACAGCCTGGGCCGCGAATCTAGACTACACATACATGCTGGAATAGTTATAATAATAATATTACCATTATTATAATGTAGGTATTAATGTATTACAAAGCCGCTGGCTTAACTCGTAATTTGATCATATTTAATATCTACCTTACTAATTTTCCATACAAACAATAATACATTTAACAAACTTACTAAAAAACAGTTTATATAATTATGTACTTTCATTTTTTTTTTATCAGATATTTGTATATAAATTGTCACACAAACTTTTCAAAAACAGCTGAAAATATTATTATATCAATATTAATTATAAGTCAAATTTTATAAAAATTGTATAAAAATTAGAGAGGTCTGTGTACAATATCATACTATTGTAAAATTGTTATTTCTAATGAAAACAGTCTTAGGGAATTACCTAGGTATATGATAATATAAACAATTTGTACCTAGCCATTGATGGCTTTTACCTAGTTTTATTTAATTTATAATCTTGATTTTCTAGGTTAAAACCAATAACTACCTAGGTAATTTATTATAGAATTTGTATTTTTAAAGTTGAGTAAAAATATTCCATGCATAAACTATACACAAATATACATATAAACTATCAATTATTGTCATATTTAAGTTCCTGCATTTATTATATAATGTTTCATATACCCTTGAAAAGGATGTTTTCTATTTTTATTTGTGTCTTTCAAAGTAAACAGGCAGGCTTTAATATTGCATACTTACGTATATTCGTTAAATTGATTTATTTCATAAATGTCGTGGTAGAAAATGTTATAGCGTTGTACAGTGGTACATAACTTTTGAATAACCAGGAAAATACGTCATATATCAATTTATATATCCAAAATATTGAATAATTTTTGTCCTTGTTATTAAAAATTAATACTTATGACGCAGGCCATCATTATAGATATATTTTCCCTAATATTCAGTATTCTTTTGTAAACTGGAAACTTCTACAATTATTTATAAATATATTATTATACATATAAATTAATTTAAAGAACTTCAAACTAAATAGTATAATGTGTTAAAAATGTTTTATTGTATCTAACCAAGTACATTCATTAATTTGGTACTTGTTATTGTATTATTGTTTTTATACGAGAAGAACCATCGTAAGTATAGTTTGGGATTTGAAGAACTACGTCTATTGTATCAATTTAGTCTCCAGAGTCTCGGCGCCATTTTGAAGGACAAAACTACACTGGTTGTGTCCAGAAAGTTGGGGCCGTTGATGAAATCTAGGTACGCACCCTCTAGTGGCACCTATATATACCTACATATACGTATATATGTATATATGTCTAAGTGTCCGACGTGTACAATAAATGTGTATATAGTCAATATATTTTTCAACACAAAAATACGGGTGAATAATAATCTCTCAGAGAATCTCGACATTGCAAATTAACAACTGGTTTAAAACGTATAAAGAGAGAAAAAAATTATAAACAAAATGTCAGTTAAATCGTCGGGCTCCACGGGGTCTAAGACTGGCGGCCGGAAAAGGCGTGGTTGTGGATCACCCACTGGAACCAGTTCAATATAATAATATTCTTATAAATGTTGGTTTGCTTCTCCTATACCTATTTATTCCACTTTTGTATAACCCTTACTACAAGGATGCATTATCTTGAAGAATAAATAAAAATATTGTTTATTTTATAGTTGCATCTCATCTTGCCGCTCTGCGCGGTATGTTCGTACTTAAATTTAATTGTAACACTATTTCCTTATATTCCTATACGTAATTATCGACCTCTCTTTCCCCGCGATCTGTTTTGATTTCATCAAAAGTTATCTTGAAAATTATTATAGATTGACGAAGTATATGAGCAGAATATATAACTTTAAAAATTAATTAGTGATTTCCTTATCATTCATGTTATTTTAATCTTTGTTAACTTTCGAATTTACTTAGTAATAGTAAATTATCTTAAAATAAAAAAAAATGTTTACATCTTATTGTAATCAATAATAATCATAGAGTAG